TTTTCCCCCCTTCATTTTGCAATATATAGTACAATTGAGTAGATCGACATTCACGTGTATGGTGTTTGTGCATTTATTTAAAGAAGGATTAGCGATAAAGACATGATTACAGTAGGTGAAGCGGTACAAGTGATGTAGAATTATGTTTAGAGTTTTGTATAATTGAAATCTACCCATGAGTTTTAAGCGAAAGAGCTATATGACAGTTACGAGGGATCTGCTTTGCTATATGGTACAGGATGTTGGTGTAACAAGAACGACACATTCAAAATACGGGTATGGCCTAGATACGAATGTTAAGATGGATGTACGGTAAGACTTAAGGAGATAGTTAGAATGAGGATATCCATCACAAAGTGGTTTGGCATCATAAGACACAGATCGAGGGATGATCTGTTAGAAGGATGGAGTAAATTGACATTACATAAGATGAAGGTTTAAGAGTATGACTAAAGGATATGATTAGAGGTAAGGTAATAAATAATAATATGAAGCTATTAGAATTCGAAAAGTGGATGGCGGTGGATAAGAATGATCTAGTAGATGGGTTCATGGTTTCCTAAGTTGGATTTTGTTATTTGTATGACAATTTTAGAAGGAATGTTCATGCATGTAGTCAAGAGTAACAGAACTGCAACACAAGAGAAAAGAAACAAACTAAGAGAGAATAGCTCTCTGAAACCTTTGAAATTCATCATACATCTGCTGTTACAGGTGAGCTTATTTATAGCTCTAAGTACCGCATAACCACTATAGCAGAAGCCTAACTGTTTCATAACAGAAGTTTAACTAACTAACATCTGCAAACTGACTCTCATAACAGAATGAGAACCTATTACATTCACCCGTCTTCTTTTCCAATGCTTTCGGACTTCTATACAGCAGAATAATGCTTTCTAACTTTCTAAGCAATCGAGTGACCAAGAGTTTTTGAGGATGCTTTACAAACATAGGTGCGGAGAGTGGCTTTGTTAACACATCAGCAACCTGTTCATATGCTGGAACTTCATGCACTTGCAGTTTTTCCAGCAGCCACCATTTCACGCACAAAGAATAAATCGAGCTCGACATGTTTGAACTTCGAATGAAGGACAGGATTAGCACAGACAGCCACAACACTCCTATTGTCACACCACAGGGTTGCTCGACCATGCACGACAACATGCAACTCCTTAAGCAAGGCCATAATCCATACCAAATCCGCAGCCGCAGAGGCAACGCTCCTATACTCAGCCTCAGCAGTAGAACGCGCAACGACTTGCTGCTTACGAGAACTCCATGCAACAAGATTCCCACCAAAATAGATACAGAACTCGGAAGTGGATCGCCTATCATCAACGTCGGAAGCCCACATGGCATCTGCAAAGCCGGTTAATGATAGTCTGGATGAAGAAGTGAATCGCTGCTTGTAGAAACCATGGGAGTGGGGAGTTCTTTCGCATCAGCAAAGCCAAACCTCTCTAACAGTTCACGAATGTATTTCTTTTGACTCAAAACTAAACCATCAGCATCATGGCACACCTCAATGCCAAAAAAAAAACTAAGAGAACCAAGGTCTTTTAGTGCAAACTGTTTGTTAAATCATTGATCACTCTTTGAACCTCATTCGCATCATTCCCTGTTAAATTATGTCATCAACATAAACTAATATATATACTATGTCATCATCAGTCTTTCGAACAAACAACGACGAATCTGATCGTGCCAAAATAAATCCTACTGAAATCAGATATCCTCGAAGACTGTCAAACCAGGCTCGAGGCGCTTGTTTCAAGCCATAGATGGCTTTATTAAGCTTGCATACCAGTCCTTCATTTCCTTGTTCATACCCAGGGTTGCTTCATGTAAACTTATTCAGTCAGCACCCCATTCAAGAACGCATTGTTGATATCAACTTGGCGAAGCTGCCATCCCTTGGACAAGGCAAGTGAAACCTTTGAAATTCATCATACTCTGCTGTACAGGTGAGCTTATTTATAGCTCTAAGTACACGCATAACCAACTATAGCAGAAGCCTAACTGTTTCATAACAGAAGCTTAACTAACTAACTTCTGCAAACTGACTCTCATAACAGAATGAGAACCTATTACATGTAGACTGCACGTTTTTCGGATACAACTTGAAAGCCATTATGTTTTAGTTCCGCGGACATGTATTGCGTATGGAAAGCTAGCATTCATTTGTGCTGTAATAAAATGCTTGCATGTCTTATGATGTAATTCTGATTCACTGAAACATCCAAAATAGAAAAAGGAGCTGCAGTTGCAATGCTTCTTATTTTTGGAAAATTTCTGAGATGTAAAATCTCTGGTAATTATTAGATTTGTGTCCGGAGATGGTAGGTATGGGCATTCATAAAATGAGGATTTGAAATGAATTTGTATGCCGGATGTAGTATTCCAACGCATTTTACTAACCTATTATCGTAAGTTCAACCTGCTAAGCCAGAAGTCTTTAAGGTTATAAATGTACAGAGCGATTGATGAAATAGTCATGAATAGTTTGATTTTTAGTTATTTATGTTTGTTTATCAAGCTAAATTAAGAATATAAACAAGATTTTGAAGTTCATTTATTAGATGAACTGAATATAATTATGTTTAATTCATGAGCAAGTTCGTTTAAAAGTTGAAATCATTTGAAGCTTTGTTTAATATTCAATTACTATACAACCAATCATATTATATTGTGTGTACGTTTTTTTTGTAATATAATTATTAATGTTATTTGTATTTGATTATTTGTATTTTTTTGAGATTATAAAAAAATTAATAGCATAACAAGACTACTGCTCCAAAGTCAACATTCTTATCCAATACGGTTGAATCCTTGTGAAAAAATCGGCGATATCCAAGTGATTATCATCATTAATAATAATTATAATATTACGAGAATAATTAATGAGTTCGTGGGATCGAGTCCCACGGAGGGCATTTCATAATTCGGAGGTCTCTTACGGAAGCTGCTCTCAACCTGGTGTTGGGGGTAGCCTACTATCTTACCTCCCCCTACCCCATATATATGAGAAAAAGGGACAGCCATTTTATAATATTACGAGAATAACTTCTAAATTGTAGTTTTTTCGAGGTAAGATTATTCTAATAAATTAATGATTATTATTGACATCTTAACAAAAACATATGTTCGAAAAGGGCAAGCGACAACAAACAACCACTATTAGTAATACAAGATCAAGATAAGATTACAACTTTTGTTATTTGGTAAGAAAAAATTATATATTAATAATGAGAATAAAATTTGATATTGAAAATTAATGATAATCTATAAAAAATAAATAAAAAAGAATCATCTGTCAATCAAATCAAAATGATGACAACCTCAAGCCGTGGATGACAGCATTGACAAAAACTGCTATTTAAAGAAGAAAAGAAAGAATAGAACAGTGTACATATATAGTAAGAACTAAGAAATTGCATTGCAGTTGAGGCTTTAATCTTAGGACTCGAATTGCTTTCCCTAGAAAGTTTGGCCAAAGTTTCAATTCTTTGGAGCAACATTGTAAATATGTAAGGCCGTCAGTACTGGTGACCTCGGACGACAGAGACTGATCCCTTACATCAAATTTATGTGCCAATTTTGTCCCCAACTTCGACCCATCGGCAACCAAACCCTTAATCTTCCCTGCACCTTCACGTCGTATAAGGGTCGTTATTCTGATACGGACAGTACTCTGATTGGGTTTTGCCCAATTTGCAGCTTTAGCTCCTGATTTAGTGTCGTTAATTAGAATCAAAAGGAACAATAGTTTAAATGAAACGTGAGAAGAGTTTGTTTTGTTTACCTTCGGTATTGAACAGGCATGTTACCAGATTTCCAAATGGCTATCTTTCAAAAGCTTCGATGGGAAGCACAAAGTGTTTGTTCGGAGATTACAACCGCCTCTGCCCTCCGCCGTGAACCCATAGTTGGGAGCACAGAAATTGTGGCGGTGACAATGATCGATGGTCCCAGGTATGCACCATCGCAGGTCATCCACGCACCTAAGCTCGAAGCACGCACCGTAGATCTGCCCACGCTAAAAAAAAGCCTCGCTTAAAACCACCTCATAATCCCGTAGCCAGCTTTGACCGCCGTGAACCCATAGTTGGGAGCACAGAAATTGTGGCGGTGACAATGATCGAGGTCCCAGGTATGCACCATCGCAGGTCATCCACGCACCTAAGCTCGAAGCACGCACCGTAGATCTGCCCACGCTAAAAAAAAGCCTCGCTTAAAACCACCGTCATAATCCCGTAGCCAGCTTTGACGAGGTCCCCATACCCACAGGCATCACTCGCGAGGATCCGACGCTGAGTAGTAAGTGGCACATGCGGGATGCCAGAGGGAGCAAGGAGGACTGCGGCGGGGGTCGGGTGGAAGAGGATGAGGAGGAGTAATGGGAAGTGACGGCGGAGATAAGTGTAGTGAGAGGAGAGGAGCTGCTTCAGTAAAAGATGGGAGTGGCATTGCATGAGAGACGAAGACAAGGGAAACAGACACTACATGGGAAAGTAAAAAATAAAAATAAAACTAAAACTAAATTTATTATATATATTTAAAATATAACCGGTTAATATATAATTAGAAAAAATGTAAGTCATTTATAATGGAAAATTTTATCAACAGTGATCTTTTAAAATAAATTGAATAATATTTTTTTTTGTAGTAATTGAAATTATTAGCAATTATATAAATTTTAGAGTATATAAGTTAAATTTTAAGTTAAAATAACGTAATATAATTTTTTATATTGTAACTGAAATTATTATTAATTGTATAATTGTTTAAATCGAACATAATGACATTTTATTAAAATTCATTGTAAATTAACCTTAATTTAAGATGTCATAATAAACTACCCAAGACATTTAAGTAGCAGTGTGGATTCTTTCGATGATTTTAATCAGATGTGAAGGTGCCATTGCAAAGTGCAAATAAAATATTTTATTAAAAATTTATTATATTTTATACACCATTCAAATCAATGATAAGAATATGTTCTTCACTTTGATCAAGCTCAACGCAGCTGAACTAGTAGCAATCTATGCAAATTCATAATCCACTGGCCTCCCAGTAGTTTCTTTATCTTATTTTCAAACAACTTATTACATGATTAAATAAAGTAATCTCCCGCATGAATCATATTAGCATCCACCATTGCTGCACATAGGAATGTTAAGCTCCAAACAACCTGTTCAATCGTTAAATGCTTTGAGTGAGTTCTCATAATCTCATCAGAGAAAGAAAAAAAATTCATCATTTTTACCTTTGAAGTCGTGACTGTGACCTCGTGGTGCTGCAGAAATGGAATATACAGATTTGTTAGCTTAAATGCTTATGGTAATGGTCAAACATATATTACTCGGACTAAGGTGGTCGGGTCGGATTCGGGTTTCGTTAGTTTTTCGAAGTTTGTCGAGCTAGAGTACTTAAAGAGAGAAAAGGTTTGAGTGGAAGTTGACATGCCTTTGTAGACTGTGGTTTGCCTGCTGGCTTTGAGTTTGATTGTTGAGTTTCATCACTTGCTAAAGGTACACTTTTACCTGTTAAAGTTTAAAAAACAAGCATAAATTTCCTGATATAAAATCAAAGAGATGAAAGATGATCAATTGATAAAAATATATATACCAGATTCATGAATAGGAGATTATAGAATGCTTGAATATATCTCTGTTTAGCTTGTTTCTGATCTTTGTTCAGCTGTTTCCAGAAGTTATACATGCATCCCATATTCAATACCTTGTTTGCATAAATTTTCCAGGTGTAGCTACGAGCAAAAAAATACACCAAATCAGTGCTTTAACCTTATAATTCACAAGAAACGAGCGCCCATGGTTTAACTTGGTATTACCATTCATTATCCGTTTCAAGCCATTTGTTGAAAACTGATTCCAATGTGCAGGATCGGCCTGGCATTTCTCGAAGAAGTCGGCGATTTTGTTGCTTGACTCATCTCCATCGGTGGGATTAATGTGGAAACCGGAAACTCCATCAACAATGATTTCGGCCGGGCCTCCTTGATTGGTTGCGAAGGTTGGCAAACCGCAGTTCATTGCCTCAATGACTGTAAGACCGAATGCTTCATACAGAGCTGGCTGAACAAATGCACCCTTTGTATCAGCAATGCAGCGGTAAAGTTCACCGTTTCTGTTCCGGTCGGTCTGCGCCGCTATCCATCTGAACTGGCCTTTGAGTTGGTACTTCTATAAGTGCATGCATCTTTCTTATTTCAGCCATTTCTTCTCTATCTTTTGATTTAGAGGGATCAAAGAAGGCCCCCACTATTACAAGGTTGACCAAACTTCTTAGCCTCTTGTTTTTCCCATACCATTCGGCTAATCCAGTCAAATTCTTCACAGTGTCAAGTCTTGCCATCGAGAAGATGATTGGTTTCTTCCTGTCAGCTAGATAACCACTGTTTTTCCGAGATATAGTAAAGATTGAATAAGTTGTTGGATGATATTGAATTACAAGTGTTGTGAAGTAAAATGATTAGATAAAGCTGCACTTACATGTGTTCATCATTATCCACTTTACTGTACAGGAGTTCTGCAATTGCGGGATGAAACGATGTGAATCGTTTTTCAGTCTCAGTGTACGGGAAGTATACGGATTGATCAGCTCCAGGAGCAGCGATGTTGAACTTGGGGTCGTAAACATTGATGCCTGAAACAACTCTACAGAGCCCTGGGAGTGTAAATGCAGCATGGCTCTCATACTGTCCTGGTCTCTCTTTGCTGCAGACAACAGAGTTGAATTTTGTGATAATGAATAAGATTTAAGTTAGCAATGTTCGCTCTAGTTCTTCAAGAAAATGAAGAGCCGGAGCAGCAGATATTCCAACATTTTCATTCAATAAACCTATATCATAGGAACGGGAGTATGGTGAATTTCTGACCTCCCTGCAATCTCCTGGTATGTGCTTGTTATAATGATATCTGTGGCATTCATTGCAATTGTATCAGCCATGAATTGGCATGAAAAATGGTACTTTGGATCAAGCTCCTTCCACTTGATGTCGGAGTCTTCATACTTGGTCTTCTCTAAAGCATGCGCAATAGTCGCCTACATCGAAATACTTGTTAGAAATTCGCGTTCACAAGTAACTAAAACTGGGAGTGAAAGCAAGTTCAGCTATATAAACTGATTCATACATACACTTATATATATGTGTGTGTGTGTGTGTGTGTTTCTATGTGTCTGTGTATGTAAAATAGACACCTGGGTTATTCCGAGTTTGCCAGCAACCAGTGATGCTACTAAGTTCCCATCAGTGTAGTTTCCGATAACAAGGTCTGGCTTTCCCTCCATTGCATCCTGGATCTTGGATGTAGCATCCTAATGGTACCCGAAAATATCGAGCAAGCAATTAATAAGAACAAATGTCCATTAAAGATTTGATCAATGGAACCAGGTAGATGAGTAGAGATGAACACATGCCTGTGCAAACCTCTCGAGATAAGGATAAATGTCGAAGCGTGAAACCCATCGGCGCAGGATTCCAGCTTCAGTCCTGAACGGAACTCGGAGGATGTGACTGTTTTTGGTGCCAATGACTGGTTCCAACTCTTGGTTGCACTTGGTGCCTCGGGCATCAGGTATGAGCCGTGTGACCTGTTAATGTTAGAATATTATCATTCAGCAAACACCGTTCTTGTGGTATACAATCTCAAGGGAATTTAACTTGAAAATTGCTATATGAGAATAAATTATATTCACCACAAGAATTTGAGGCTTTATGTTGAGGCCTTGGCATTTGATTCTGAGAAGCAATTCTTCCTCCATGGCCCTCACTTGATCTAAAATGTAAACAACCTGCCCACCGGTGTCTGGCAAGCCGAGGACGTCCGACTGTCCGAAATAGCCATGGGGAGAGAATATTACAACCTTGAACATTATGGGAAGTTTGCTAAAGAACTTCTCCAAATTCAGGGGGTCAGGGGCTTGGAGCACTTCCGAGAGCAATTGTATCGTCTCTTGCACTCTTTCAACCGTATCGCCCCAGCCTCTCTCGAAGCCCCATTCCTTGAACCTGAAAGACAATTTAGATATATACTAAGCAATCATCAAGCACTTTAAAAGAAAATTTAATTTATCAGATCATTTCTTTTTACCGTAGCTCCAAACTTTGGTATGGAGTATCCTTGGGAAGATCTGAGAGGGAAACTTCGGCTACTATAAGAGCCATCTGAAGCTTAGTTGCTGTGTTAAGGGTCTCATTTATCATATGTTTCTGCAGATTTCAGAATGCAAGGAGAAAGTTGAGAAAACAACCATCAACATGTATGCACTAGTCTGAATATATGTATGTATTATTATATACCTCTCCTGATATTCCAGTGAGAGTAAGTAATCAACAAGAGGCTGTGCATTGTCCACAGATCCACTTAACTTAGCAGTAATGAAATTCGACACGAAATTGAGCCCCTTTCCGATTGAAGAAGCCATCGTTAATTTCGGCATCGAGAAGTCGAACGCTCCGAAATCCACCTCCAATGCATTTTCATCTTTCGACCTGCAGCAAACATCAAGTCAGTCATATATATATAGAACAAACCAAAGCGTGCAATGGCATATAATAACAGGTTAACGTACCAATTCTCGTCGGCGATCGTCTCTTTGAGTTTCAAGTAATCTGCGGAGGAGATTTGTTTGACGTCAGAGATATCGAAGGCGTTCACCTTAACGAACTCCCAATATCCAGGAGTTGGTCTCACAGCAAAGGTGACATAAGGCGGAACAACAACCGCCTCCTGCAAAATCCACAACAAAACTCAATTATCTTTCACAAAAGCTACGAAATCAAAAGACGAACGTTAATATGGTTATTGTATCATGTATTATTAACCTGAGCCGAGGAAAACATGGCGCCCAAGGAGCCTCCAAAGATCCGATCTCTCTCGCTCTTATCGTCAATCACTTTGTCGAGTTCATCCCTCAGTTCTTGAACCTTCAAGATCCTTCCTCCCTTCTCCATGTACTTAGCAAAGCAGCGTTTCATGTAATAGTGGCTCTGCTTCAGGGCATTGGGTATGTTGTCGGCTATGGAGTCGCCGCGCTGCATGGTCGATGTAGACGCCATTTATGTTTTTGGAAATGCTGGAAACTAAAGCAAAGCAAAACTAGCTTGATTTGCAATTCTAGTTAGTGGAGATGATGAATATATATTGGTTTTGATAAAGTGCTGCGGTGGGATTGGAATAATGAAATATATGCAATAGAAAGATGAGGAGAGAAAGAAGATTCGAATGCTAGCTGGTCTGGTCTGGTCCTAATCAAATCAAATGAAGTAAAGAATTCCGGTGAGAGGAAATTTAGACCATCCCAACCCCAACCCCAACCCCATTCCCATTATTCTTTTCTTTCCGTGCTCGTCAGTTTTACAATAACACATATGTTCCAGTGGAAAGGAAGAAAACCATTCTGTTCTTTCACGTTTCCAATGTTTTTTAAACAAAAATAACTTCAAAAAACCGCAGATAAATCTGTTTTAACCTTTAAGTTATAAAGTAAAAGAAAATCATTGAAGATGGATAATAAGTTAGTTCAGTTTGATGATGTATTAAATTATTTAAATAAGATTAGGTGTTCGAATTTTAATATCGTGAATGAAAAAAATAATTTGGAAGAGCCGTCCTTTAATGAGATTTTGTAGTATTTAATTTGTATTAGACAATCAAACTAATAATATATACGGAAAAAAACTATCTTATACATAGATTGTATAAATTAATCTTATATATTTTCAGGGTCAGGGTTTAAAATTAAAAATTCAAAATTAAAATTAAAATAAAGATGTTATAAAGAAATTACATATCCAAAATAAATAACAACCTTGTATACGGAGGATATAACAGTAGCACGTTTCAACCCCCATTGCATGTGACAAGTGACAACCCCCATCCCAAGTCCCCCCTCTATTATGTATAAATAACGAATCCAAAGTCACTGCTTTCACAAATATTAAACCAATACTGATAACAATGGTTGTCAAAGTTTATGGTCCAGTAACGGCAGCTTGCCCCCAGAGGGTACTGACCTGCCTTCTCGAGAAAGATGTCGATTTCGAAATCGTTCACATCAATCTCGATGCCTGTGACCATAAGAAACCCGATTTCCTCCTCCGTCAAGTACTCTCTTTTCTCATTCATTCCACATTTTGGTTTCTTTTAGGTTATTATTAGAGTTTAACATTGTTTTTGTTTTCAGCCGTTTGGACAAGTCCCGGCTATAGAGGATGCCGATTTTAAACTTTTTGGTGAGATTGTTAGACTTGTTCGAAAACGATACATGAATATGAAAATTCTAGAATGAATGTCATACACTGATTTTTCGTTTTTGGCAGAGTCGAGGGCGATCATAAGGTACTATGCGGCCAAATATGAGAAGCGAGGTCCGAACCTGCTGGGGAACTCATTGGAAGAAAGAGCAGTGGTGGATCAATGGCTTGAAGTGGAAGCACACAACTTCAACGAGTTAGTCTACAATTTGGTCCTCCAGCTGGTGATCCTGCCTCGAATGGGGAAGCAAGGTGACTCGGCCTTGGCACTTAGTTGCCAACAAAAGCTGGACAAAGTATTTGACGTCTACGAGCAACGTCTGTCCGGCTCCGCCTATCTTGCCGGAGATTCGTTCACCTTGGCCGACCTTAGCCATCTCCCGGGCATTCGATACTTGGTGGAGGACGCCGGAATGGGGCACTTGGTGTCCCAAAGGAAGCATGTCAATGCATGGTGGGAGACCATTTCCAACCGACCCGCTTGGAAGAAGCTCATGAAGCTCGCTGGTTATTAAGCATCCTTCACTACTACTGCATGTGTTAAACGTGCTAAAATTATGAATCTTATAAATAGTTCTATTATATGTACACATATGCTACCCTGCTTCAAAACGTACTTGAAGATCAAGGTTGAAGCTTATCATGCTAAATGTAGTTGGACCTAAATGCTATTCAATGAGCTGAATTTCCATTGGATTTTAATATGCCACTGCAGTACTTTTTTCAAATTTTGAGCTTTATTCGGATGGATGGTGAAATTGATTCCGGTGAAACGACCTATTCGTCCGAGGACCGGCGAGGGATCTAACGTATGCAACCGGGAGAGCAATTAATTTCTTCGGTTTGCTTACATAAGCTCTCTTTGTAAAGTTGTTATAATCATTGGCCTCTATCTCATCTAGTATTTGCCGATACAGCAGCAATGATGTCCATACCTGAGATAACAAGATGCAACATAGCTTAGACAACAACACTCCCTGTTCCGGGTTATGTCGACTGAGCTTTCGATTGCTTACAGGCCATCGACTAGTCCTGCCCTCTTTATTTGTTTCTTCATGAAGTTTCTCCACTTATCTGTTACCTTTCCATGAAAAAAGTCCTCGTCCGATAGTCCTGCCTGCGCCAATTAGTCCTGCGGTAGATAAATCCTTCCCCTTTGTGCACTGCATAAACCAAAGGGGATAGGAGGAAAACCTTAACTTCTTTTCGATCTGTAAAACATGAAAACACGAAAGAATCGAAACAAAATTTGAAGTATGGAATGATTCAACACTGTACTTACTCCTCTCCAACATCCCTGAGTATGTTAGTAAGCTGATTCGCTATCCCTAATGTCAATGCAGCATTATACACACACTCTGTTGTAGCTAAAGATTCGGGTGCAATGCCCATCACGGGCACACTCATCAACCCGATGGTGCGGGCAACGTAATAGAAATAGAGATACAGTTCGTCAAAGTTTTTGTATCTCAACTTCCTAAGGTCCATCCTCATTCCCTCGATCATGTCTTTGAAAGGCTGCAAACAAAATATTATAAGCCAGTTAACAAGCTCCAACAATCCAATAGGCCAATGTTCATCGGCTACGCCTTTTCTTTTGTTCTAAACTTTTTCTAGCCATACCTAAATGAGGAAACAGAGTGGATCATGATATGTGGGTAGCAACATAGTAGTTTGATGTTCAGTTTAAGCTATTAAGCACAAGCTAACCTGAATATCGACCGGAAAATTTTTAACAGTGTCTGCTAAAGCTGCATTGAGTATATCGAATGGATAACCTCTGAATAGATCTTCCAACCTTGCTTCCCACCTATCTAAGGCAGTCGGAGCTATATGTGACGCATTCGGCCCGTTGACAAGCTCATCTGTCCTCCTACACCACACTGTATAACATGATAAGAAAGTGAAGAAATAAACTGCTGCATCTCCAAATTACAGTCATTATCCATCAAACACTACATGAAATCTATCACAAAAGATGGTTCTTGAAAAACTTACAATAGATTGCCCATATAGCCCGCCGTCTTTCAGGGGTCATCAGCAAAGTACCTAAAAAATTTAATGCAAGTAAATGTTTTATTTTTTATGGTCATGATTCCAACTTGTTTAACCGAATAACAAGAACGAGAAAAGGCTGACCCAAATAGGTCTTTGCGTACTCGGCACAAATTTCTCCACATCGATCATATGCTTCTTTCAACAAGCGCAAATTCCCAGGGACACGATCGACATCCTTGGGAGGTTTCAACTGACCAAAGCTGCCTGCTGCAACACCACATTGTAGACCTTCTCCTCCGAGGACATAGCTATCTCTCCTCCCGAGCTAGTGGCCGCCATGGTTGATACTAGAGGAACCTTGCTTCTTAAGCTTTCCGAACAAACGCATGGATGTGTACTTAAAGAACAAAACTGGGGATGTTTCCGTTTCTGATTCTTACCCTTATCTGCTCTGTGTGGGAACGACGAACTGGTATGTGGAGAATAAGCTAATGGGTGAAGGAACCCCATGTCTGGTTGGGAAAATACAAATGGAAGCAACTTTACAGACATGTAGAGATGGATTGAGAATTGAGATTAATTTTTACACAAGGAAAATAAATATGGGAAAAGAATTAAAACTGAAAAAGTGTGCGTACAGATAAACCTCCACGATTTTACGCAAGTAAGCACTATGAAGTCGAAGCAAACAGAGAACTCAGACAATTTTGCATTTAAATGTTAGGTTGCTTGTCTTTGGCCTATTAGTACAGCAGTACTTTCAAAACATGGTTCACCCTTAACTGATTATACTACCATGTATGTCCGAGAAAATAATATTGCTTTTTCTAGAAAATTTAAATTTAAATAACTATATTTACAATATATATATAAATTAAAAAATTATAAATAAATATTATCTTGTAATAGCATTACAAGAAAACGCAACGTACGTTCGATGGATCAATTTGGAAGAATCCGGCGACACAAATGGGATATCATGCATTGTAGAAGTGGATAAAATTATACGGTAAATTACACTGGTGATCAATCAACTTTTCTTTCCTTTTATTTTTGACCCCCAATATTTTGATTTCATCAATCAAATCATTCAACTATTTAAATGTTTCAATTAAACTACTCGTCGTTAACTTTTAACAGAAATGGTGATGTTGATATAATTATATATTTGATCCTCAATACTTACATATTTTATCAATTTAATCTTAATTTTAATTTAAAAAATTAACTCTTCAATCAGGAAGTGTCATGTGTCAGCACATTATTATGACACGTTCCAAGTGACACATATCACAAGAGCATTAATTTAATTAATTTTAATTAAATAATTTTTTTCATCAATTAGGTGGTGACAAATTGTAAAGAAAAAATAAATTATAAAAAAAGATTTTTATTTTAAATCTTGCATTAACTATAATTTAATATATGTAATATAATTTATTTATTAAATTTATTTTAATGACTTAATATATATATTTATATAAACGTGTGTGTGAAATAATTTCAAACACAATATATAAAAGATTTTTCAATTTGATATCAAATGGATGTTTGCCCCAGCGACAAAGGCATACCGAGGGACACCCATGGTTCCTGGTTTGAGTCTCCCATATAACACTTTTATTCTAATAAATTATTAACATCAGATTTGAGGGTTAAATTTAAATTAAAACTAAGATTAAATTGATGGAATATATAAGTATTGAGAATCAAATATCTAATTATATTAATTTTATTAATCGCTGCATCACCACCTCCTTTAAAAGTTAACGGTGGCTTGATTGAAGTATATAACTAGTTGGGTGGTTTGATTGATGAATTCAAACATAAGTTGTCAAAATGAAAGGAGAAAATTGTTGAGTGGTCACCCTTATAGTTTACCCAAAGTTATTAAGCAGAGAATCTGGGTAAAGAATGACGTGGGCCAATGAAAACAATCACAGCTGGTAATCGATAATGTTATCCCAAGACGTGGCAAACGGGCAGCTAGGGAATTGGAAATAGGAAAAGATGTAGAGTGGATTGGTCCGATTGGTGTTAGAAAGTGGGAATGAGGTTATTAAGTTGTTTATATAACAATTTTTATTTTTTTGAGAAAGGTAGTTTAGATTTTAGAGATAGTCGTATATCAAATTTTTTGTAAAGTTTGAATTTAAATTATCAATTTGCTTTCAAACTTAATTCGTTTATTATTATTGATTTTTTTTGTTTAGGTTTAAAATAATTGAATATTTATATAATGAATATCTAAAAGTTAATATTCACAATTATCTTAAATATAATGATAATGATAATTAGACTATTCAAATTAGAATATTATTTAAATGTATATTATCAATATTTATAACAAAAATAAATTACATATATAAATATTTAAATATGCATTACCAATTATCATTTTTAATTGGGGGGAGATAAACAAGTAACTTATCTCCTTTGTTCAACAGTTGGCGACAACCTTCTCTTTGGACTCTCTAACGATGATGTGATTGATCCTTGTGATCATCTTTGCTCCATGAAGATGAGAAACATTCTTCATAGTTAAGCAGTTGATCATCAATAAGGAGTGAGTGAGTTTTTCCTTAGGCGCTAGGTCTGCTAGAATCATCACGGAGCTATGATTGGTGGCAACGACAATCAGCATTTTTTTCCTCCTTAACATATCAACTGGCTACTTTGTATAGCTGGATAATCTTTGTTTGTTGATTGTCTATCATGGCGTACTTAAGGGGCTCGTGTCAAAGCCTAAAGATATAACAAACATTGTACATTCGTCCGATAGGTCACAAACGTAACGTGTAGTCTTAGAGAATCTTCTCGTGTACTCTATCAAGAGATTATATACTTTTCCTTTGGACTATGTTGAGGAGGCTGGTTTCGAGTGATAGGCGATCTTATTTGTAAAAAATTAACCAACAAACAATCGAAATAACTGTTTGAAGTCCCCTATTAGTTGGTATCGCAGATAGAGAATTATACCCATTTTTAGCTACCCTCTAGGGAGTGATTGAAAAATACCTTACATTTTAGCTTATGGAGGCCCTCATGATGTATATGCAATCCATACATGGATAAATCCTTGGTGGAATATTTGGTACCATCGTAAGTTTTCTTGGTTGTTAGAGGATAAGGGACTGGTAATATATGAGAGAGAGGGCTTGGTTCTTCTCCAGCCCAGTTTCCTTCAAGGTAATTGACGGTTCGTGGATTATCGATTTACTTTTGTAAAATCATTGTATTATTTCTCCATTCATGTTCTCTCGGGTTGAGAGATTGGGGTACATATTCCATGTTGTCCCTGATCATACTAACGCCTATGTTAAGCATTGGAAACATATTCATCCTCTTTCCCTCGGCATCCATTCTTTTATTGCTATGAGATCGTTAGCTCTTGAGGAGCTTTCTAATCAACTCTTGTTTTTGATTCTGTTATTGCAGCTATAGGTGAGCGTCTTAAGAGGCTTGAAATTGTGCTTGCATATTTCTCAATTTAGTTTTTAAATTGTGAACCTTTAAGAGGTTCTGGTTATGGGGTATGCATAGTTGCATACGGTTGGCTGGTAGTGTTGTTAGCGAAAATAATATCCAGATTGATCATAGGCACCGTAATAGGATTGGTATGACCTATAATAAGTTGAGTCGTATGTGTTTGGTTGCTGTTAGCCAAAGGAACCATCTACATCGATCTAATGAGTTTTGAGATGAGGACTGTAAGTTGGGTTAGTTGTCTTAAGATAACTCCTGAGAATTTGATGCAGGGGGATCCGAGACAGATGATGCTGAACTGTCAGATTACACTTTGATGGAGCTGAGATACTATGAATTGGCAGATCAGCGCAAAGGCCGGAATTGATTGTGACATGTTTTTCATTGGGGTCGTTTTGAGTATGTTTCAGTCTTTTGGCCATAACTTTGGCTACAGGTGTCAGAATCGCGCATAAGACCCCAATCCGAAAAGCTCTTTCGACGCGCACGCTCTCCACAGTGAGTTACGCTCCATGTGACCTTTTTTTCAACCTCAAATTCTGCCGTTTTCCCTTCCGAATCACTAGATTTAGATATTTTTTACTATTTATGGTAATATTTCGATTGTCAATTAGGAAATCTATTTAAATCCGATTTAGGCCGGATTTTTTTGAGATTGCTTATTTTATTTCGAATTTCAATGTAGAGTGATTTTCGGGATTTTACTATTTTTGGCAAAATTCGAATAAATACGATTTTTGGCTATAACAGTCCGGCTTGTGGACTGATTTTGGGGATTGTTTGATTTTATAATATTTTATTAAACCCTAGAGATTTTTTTCTCTGGTTTTTTTTTTGGGCGAATTTTCTCTTGTGAATCATCTGTTGGAGCGCTTGCAAGATAATCACTATTCTGTCTGGCGTCAGAATTTATCGTGATTGATTTTTTAGATTTGGAAGTGGTTTACGTTCACTAAATCAATTATTGATGAGAATAAATGAATTATATCGATCGTTAATGCTTTACTCCTTTTGATTCGAGTGGAGAGTTGTAATTAATGGTTTAACGACTGTTGTTTGATGAAAAGACGAAGAATGAGAAATCTTAAAAAGAGAGTAATCAAAGTCGAAGAAGAAACTTAATATACTTTCTCTTTATCTATGGTAAGGGGTTTGTATACTGACATTTTATACATGCTTGTGTCGGATATAATATCATTTGTTATGTGTAGACTAACAAAATATATAAAACAATTATCAAGCTGTAGATTTATAATGATAAATCAGGATATTGTCAAATTTATAATTGATCAAATGATTTTTTTATGAGTTGTTAACAGAGAGAATATTTTCGAGAGTTTGATTTGACGAAAGAGAGATATTAATCGTGTAACAATTATAATTCATAAATAAACTTGTCGAAACAAGTAAGTGATATGAGGTGTAATTTGAACTACAAGGTGTCCAACGAATGATTGGCTGTGATTCTTTCCTCCTCTAAATAAAAACTGAAAAATGAAATAAAATGAAATCCGCGCCATATGTGTGATTTTGACCATATCCATGGTATCATGTGTTGATGATTTCAAGTGCGTGTTCAAAATGACGAAACTGCCCCATCCAGGAATAATCTGGACGGCCAAGTTCCAGAGTGCACCTGGTATAAGCCGTCATTGGGGGCGGCATTGTGAACTCTCATCCCAACAAAAACGAAGCCGAGAGAGACAGAAATGGCGACTGCAACCAAATCGGGAAAAAGTGTTGTGCTGCTCTGTGGTGACTATGTCGAGGACTATGAGGTTCATTTACTTACTCATTTTCATGGTTTTGTTGTTGTTGTTTTCCTTAAATTTTGTTAGTTAGTATATAATTGAAGGTAAAATGATTAGGTTATGGTCCCTTTTCAAGCACTGTTGGCTTATGGTGTATCGGTGGCTGCTGTTTGCCCCGGCAAGAAGGCCGGCGAGGTTTGCCGCACTGCTGTTCATTATCTTGCCGGCCATCAGGTTCGTAAAGTATTTACCTTTTGCTCAAAATATTGGGATTTTTTCCCATCTCAAAAACATTTCTTTTTTTTTGATTTTCACTTGTTTGTTGCAGACATACTCAGAGTCCCGTGGTCACAATTTCTCACTGAATGCATCATTTGATGAGATAGACCACACCAAATTTGATGGTTTGGTTATACCTGGAGGACGGGCTCCTGAATATCTTGCTATGAATGCATCTGTACTGGACCTGGTGCGCAACTTTGTCAATTCTGGAAAGCCTGTTGCCTCAATTTGTCACGGTCAATTGATTTTGGCTGCTGCCGGGGTGGTTGGAGGTCGAAAATGTACTGCTTACCCTGCTGTTGGACCTTCTCTTATTGCCGCTGGTGCATCGTGGGTTGAACCCGTTACCATGGCAGCTTGTGTTGCTGATGGTAACATCATTATGGGGCTACCTATGACGGGCATCCCGAGTTCATCAGGCTCTTGTGAAAGCACTGAAAGGCACCATAACCGGGTCAAACAAAAGGATCCTATTTCTTTGTGGGTAACTTCTCGTTCAATGAGTTCAGTTTATATTTGTCTCGTTAGGAAAATTACCTTTTATAATGAATTTACTTAATGAGTTATATTCCGGACAATCGGATTAATAACACATATTTATGTCTTCATGCACATGTTAACTGTTAGAGGTAGGGGGAGATCTGTTAGGCTTCGTAGTCTGTACTCAAAATTCTATTGATTAGCATTCTCCTCTGGCTCTTTGAACTTTGAAGAGCATGCTGGTGTTTTAGGCTTTTAGCTATATACAGCCTTATGTATATGGTCTGGAAGTGCTTACCTTTTACCTGATTTCAATTACGTATGGAAACATGCACATTAGATGCGTGGTTTGTGTCCTAATTTTTTGAAGTTTGAATCACTGAAAAAATAAGACTGCACACATTGGTAATTTATAAAGGTGTGAGGTCCGCCTTTCATCGTTCTCAACCATTTGAATGTGAAATCAGCAGCCTATGTTACCTGTTAGTTAACTATGGCTCCCTGTTTTGCTTGCTTTCCTTCTGTTGTCTGTAAAGGTGGATTCTGTTCCCTTTAACATTTGCTGTTGAATTATAGAATTCACTGTTATTCAAGTTCTTTTATCTTTCTGCAATTTTCATACTGTTACTGGATTTTCTTGTAATTGAGATGAGATTTCCAAGATATGCACAGTTTTTTTTGGCTGATAGAGTAAGAACCTTAATAAAGCTTGACAAAATCCAGGACTTAGCTCGGTTTATGCAGTCACATTCGAGAGATTGTAGCTAGCAGGTCCGGTGTTTGAATCCCAGCATCTGTAATCTCTACTCTTGTTTCCCGAGTGTAGCCTCCTTTGTACAAAGAAAAATAACAATAAAAAAGTTAAGTTTAATAAAGAAACGTGCTTGGTCGTGATACCTTAACACATTGCTTCTCTTGCTTAACTTACAGGATTTTATGGAAGATTATGAAGTAACTGTTCCTTTCCAGTCACTTCAAGCTCTAGGGTGTCATGTAGATGCAGTTTGTCCTAAGAAGAAGGCCGGCGACTCCTGCCCAACTGCTATCCATGATTTTGAAGGTGACCAAACCTACAGCGAGAAGCCAGGCCATGATTTTACTCTAACAGCTAACTTTGAGGGCATAGATGCCTCGAGTTATGATGCTCTTGTCATCCCTGGGGGTCGAGCACCAGAATATTTAGCACTAGATGGGAAAGTGATTGCTATAGTGAAGAATTTTATGGAGTCCAGCAAACCAGTTGCATCCATTTGCCATGGGCAGCAGATTTTAGCTGCTGCTGGCGTTCTCAAGGTAGTATTCCTGACATTGATTGTTGTTTACTGTTTTGCAAGTTCATAGTTTATTTTGAATTCACTTATACTACATCAGTTTACTTGCTACATGTTGTAGGATCATTCTGAGTTCTCGCATACACACATCACTATTTCATAACTACATTGTTTCTTCTACTAGGATCATGCATTTTTCATTGGCATTCATTACGTCTTCAAGATTTTAATTGTTCAAGAACAAAAACTTGCTTTTGTTTTCTTTTCAACTTACATTTGTTTTCAACACACTTTTAGAAGAAAACAACAGTGGCAGAGAAGTTCAAGTTATATGGAAATTTCGTTATATTGACCGAAACATTACGTTGCTTACCATATTTGTTACACACTTTTAGAAGAAAACAACTGTGGCAAATTTGTTCACCAACTTTTGCTATGTCCATCTCATAAATTCCTATCTGTCTTGGATTCAGGGGAAGAAATGTACTGCATACCCGGCTGTGAAACTTAATGTGGTCTTGGCAGGCAACATGGTTAGAACCTGACCCTATAGATCGTTGTTTCACTGATGGAAATTTGGTTACTGGACAGCTTGGCCAGGTCACCCAGAGTTCATTTCTCAATTAATGACTTTGCTGGGTATTAGGGTTCCTTCTAGTTTATCCTTGTGTGTATGTGGCAAATATCGTAAAATCTATATGAATATGTGATGCCTTTCAAGCGACTGGTCAATGCAGTCACATCACGCAAAAAAGCTACAAACTGGTTATCTCCTTAGCCCTTTATTTCCTAGTTTGTAAACGGTTTTCTTTGGTACCAATAAGCTGGTTATGGCTGTTTCTAGTGTTGTACTAAAAAAAGAAATAAAATAAAAACAGTTTGATTGCTATTTTGGTGATAGGTTATTCCATCATTCATTGATGGTTGTCAAGACTACAATGATGTTTGTCCAATAATGACATATCATTTTTTTGTAATTTTTGTGCTGCAGCTAACGAAATGTGTAGATTATGAAGCTTACACATATAAATGGTGAATCTCTGCAGTACTTTATCATTATTGATGGCCGTACGATAACGTTTGGTGCTTTCTGTAACTCAAATTGCTTAAAGTTTCCTGCTACTTTTGTCACAATGTTTGGTGTAGCTTATCCAAAGCTTGCATGGCAATGCCCATATTGATGTGTGGCTGTTGTTTCAATGTGAGTTTCTCAACCAGTTTAACAGATAACTATAATTTACAAAATGGAGAAAAATTAACTAAACATATCTTATTTTTATATTACGAGTATTAATCATAATTTATCTCTTATTTCGACCAATTATTTGATTATCTAATGGTAATTAAATAATAAAGTATATTAATCAATTCAAAGTATCTCTGAAAGTTAGAACACGTTGGATGGAGAAAATAATAACATGCAGCTGAAATTGGTTAAACGTAATAGGGATACGTAATCTCAACCCAAAAAGACAACAGAAATGATATGATAATGTGTTCAGACCAAAGCTCAACTTCTAGATTTTATTTATATTTCAAAAATCTACACGAATCAAAATATGGTTTTACTACAATTTTCACATTAAATTCATTGGTCTAGGAGACTCAAAATCCAGGTATTCCCCGTTTGCCTGGCTACCGTAGCCATACATATCAAACATCCTATCATCTGAAGCCATGTTTATGCCTTCTCGTCCTCTAAATGCATCCATCGGTGAAGCCAAGCAGCAGCAGAGTCGAGGGGTTAGAGTTTGACCCTTCTTGATTCAAACCGAGGATGGTCGGGTTCTGAGGTGAATTTCCAGCAGGTCTTCTGTTGGATGAATTGGACGTCAGAGAAATAGACGATGACTGTTGCTGCTGCTGGTTCTTGATTGGCGACTTGGGACGCAGTGCCTCTATATCTGGGGTTGTCTGCACTAAATGAGGTGCATCTGGTGGAGGATTTCGTCCTCCCCCTCCTTGCCACACTTTCCCATCCTTCAGCAAAGTTTCTAATATACGCCTGGAGAGCAACTTAATTCTCAGCAAAAGGCATGAAGCTTATAATGTTAAGTTCCACAGGATTGATATGTTTGGTTGAGAGGATGATTTTACAGAATCAAATATTTGATTGATGGAACCGAATATCACTGAAAGCACTTAAGTGAAAGTCTACGGGATTTTTATTCTCAAGAGTTCGCACACCTGTCCGATGTTAATTTCTTATATAGCCATTTGAAAGAGTCGGTCAATTTCCCAAAAGATAACATACCTCTACATTAAAATTTGATGAGGACAGCCCTTTACCACAGTCAGCCAACCAGATCGGATATTGTGGTCTTCACCGAAAAGCTCAAGCCTTCTGCGGCCAAGAGCAAAATGCTCAATAATTCGATACATGTCTTCAGGCTTTTGAGTTGAACCTAAAGAGCAGTTGGCATGAACATTTTAAACAAATTCTCATCTACACAATTGACATTGCAAAATCGCAGAACAAGGTAGTACACTATAAACATTGTCAAGGCAAATAGTTTAGATAAATGTCGCAATACACTAATACCCAATCCCTTCCAACCCTATGATTCGAATTGCAGACTTGTTTTTATGGCACTCATAAATCTCAAACTGATGCATCCAACTTGGTCTTAACTAATTTGCAAAATTGCAAAGAAAGCCAAATAAAGCATCAAGAGAGAATCGATTGGAATTACAGTGATACCACCATTCAGTTTCTTTTCCCAAAGTTAAATTTAAAAAAAATAGCATGCACATATCAAAATGGTTGGAAGCAAAAGAATCAATGAAGTACAAAATATTCATGAGTACTAACCATAAGAAGGTTCCTCAGCAATAATTACATCAGTATCAATGTTGGCATGAATTATATGACCATCAGTACTACGACGAACAGTTCCTTTTATACCCATCAGGCAGTGTTCCTTCAGTGAAATAGTAACATGAGGGAAAGTTTAGGCGAGAGTGCAGGGGTTGCAGATTGCCCAAGAAAATTCTATGATAACAGAGTATTAAAGCTTTAAAATGTGGGGGGAACCAATATTTCAAACCTTGGAGTGCTGAAATATAGAATGAGAATCATGTCGTAAGCTTGGAGTGGAATTTGTTTTGTTGGTCTTCAACCAGCATATATCTTCACATCTCCGGAAACCCCACTGCAACACACAGAATAAGCACCCAAAACATAATGTTATTACACCTATAATTTCATCGGTGCTAAGGAGAAGAAAAGCCAAATCATATTCGAACTATATATCAACATGTACCTTCTTTAAGCATTGACGACCCTGCTCAAGGCCTACACCATCACCCACCCAAAGGAAGATAAAGGATGGTGTGTCAGCTATAGCCTACAAACATGAGGTAAAAAATAATATGAATATAAAATAATCTCCGATACCCATAAGCTATTTAGAAAGAGCCTACATGGATGCTAATATTTAAGAGAGAGCAACACTAGAGGTGTTAGCATTAAAATACCACCTGCAAGATATATATAACAGTATTTTCTTTTCCTTTTTTCTTTTTTGGTAAAGGAAATTAAAAAGACGTGATGTAGAAATTGATTACCTCGATCTTAAGATTCACGATCTCTTCAAATGTCCAGTATTCAATATGGTCAGCAACTCCAGGAGCCCGGAGAACATATTCTTCCCAAGGGGGATCTATAAGAATAACATCAAACTTTGTCCCAAAGAAATCGAGAGACAATTCAAATTCACGGAGGTCACACTTCATATACATGGGAGGAGAAGTGGATTTAGCAACAATATCATCCTTTTTCTGTATTAGCTCCCTTAGCTTTGGATAGTCCTCCACAACACTGGTAAGCTCTAGCTCCCTGATGAAGTTCTGTGGTCGCATACCAGTATCAACAAAATTTGAGAATAATCATTCTGTTCTCCTCTGGAAGGAGCTTACCAGGAGGACCACCAGTTCTAGGAGGAACCCAACCCCCAGATGCTCTTTCAGTTGGTGTTCCTCGTCCCATTGGCCCTGCCCCATTAAAGTTAGCCATAGACACATTGAAGGTCCTTCCAGGTCCTGACTGATTAAAGTCCATACCGGGGTTTGCCAGACCTCCCATATTAGGAGGAAACCTTGGTCCAGGAGGGACAGGAGAGAGGCCCCAGGCCAGACCACAGGCGGGGAAAACGGTGGAATGAAGACACCTGGAGAAATTGGAGGTCCAGGAGCAGGGGACATACCAGGGTTAATTTGTTGCATGGGTCCAGGTGGTGGCATCCCGAGATGAGCAAAAGGTGATCCCATCATAGGCATTGGGAGACCAATCTGTTGGTTGTCCTCCCTGAAGACCTTCCTCTTCCTCCTCTGCCTATCCTACTCCCTTTCATACCTGAGGAGGAACACGGCCAAAAGTTCCTATATCCTGGTCGGCCAGATGAAGTAAGTTTCTGGCCCCGCCCTTTCCCTCCACTGTAATCAAGTTCATCAGTAAGTACATTTGGATCTCGAGTTGAGTTACTTTCTTCTGTATATTTGTCCCTTGAATCTTCATCCAAGGGTCCAGAACCATATGCATCACTCCTTCCTCTATTTTCTTGCATATATCTCCACTCTTCCTCATTTGGGGCTGCCTTCAAGTCAGATTGCTGACTACTTTCAGTTTTTCGGGGAAAGTTGGATACAGACTCATCTCTTCCATAATCAAGAGGCTTGGTTTTGATCTCTATAACATCATAATTATAATTTGAGATCCCAAAATTTGAAGATGTTTTGACAGCTTCACCTCGATTTCCATCTTTTCTATTACCTGGCCGACCATGAGGCCTTTCGTTTTCACTCCTCTCCCGGCCATGCCTTTGCGAATCCCATTCTCTACCACGGTCACATGCAATGTCACCATCTTTGGACTCTTTATCATTGTTACTTGATTGCCACTTTTTCCAGTTTTCCTTCGAACCTTCCCCTATCTTGTCACTCCAATTATCAACCCTGCTTTTAGATCTGTCATCCCTTTCTATTTGTTTTGTTTTGCGTTCCAAGCTTCTTTCAAAATCCATCTCAGAGAGATCTGATTCTTGATATCGCCTGCTACTTCTCTCAGGGGTCCTAGACCAGTTTGTTTGACCTCCTCTTGAACTTTTATCCCTCATACATGCTACTCCATCATCATCCATATTGGATATCCTTTCTCGGCTATCAATATCTCGACCAGAAGTTCTCTGCTGTCTGTGCTTCTCAATTTTCTCCCTACCTGATCTGTCTTCAGATTTCAATGGACTGGTCCTATTGTCTTCTTCTAGGACATCAGATCGACCTTTGCTCTTGCTCTTCTCAGCATCAATTCTTCTCTCTTCCCTACTGCTGGATTTGGTACCTTTCTCATTGTTTGAATCAGCAGCAATGTTTTTACTTTCACTAGGCTCATTGACCTTGAGAAGGCGTATGATAGCGTTCCCCGCGATACGATCTGGAAGACTTTGGAAACGAGACGGATCCCAAATATTATCCGGCAATTCGTGATATGTATTGTAGATCTACTACATACGTCAGGACTAAAGTTGGCGACACCGAGACATTCCCGGTGGAAATCGGACTCCACCAGGGGTCGGCTCTTAGCCCTTACATCTTCGCCTTGATTATGGACGACATCTATTGTGCGACACCAGACGGTGTACCATGGTGTATGCTTTTCGCTGACGACATTGTCCTAGTTGCTGAAACAAAATCTGAGTTGAATAGTAGACTGGCTACTTGGAAGACTGCTTTGGAAGAAAAAAGGTTTAAGGATCAATATTGATAAGACAGAGTATTTATGTTCAAACTTCAGTAGGAACCAAAACGAAGAAGATGTAGAAGTATGCATAGAAAGACACGTTCTCCC